CGGGAGCCCCTCAGGAACAGACGAAAGTGGGAATGCAGGCAAAACAGCGCCCCATACAAAACCCAGCCAAGACCGAACCTGGGAGGGAACCAGATGGGACTTCCGCCAGTTCACCAGGAACCTGAACCCGCGAGCTGGGAAAGTACCAAATCCCTGGTGAGCAGACACGTGAAGGGGCTGGAAGCCCAAACCAGCAAGTCATTGAGGTAGGCCAGAACCTGAACACCTAACAGACGCAGGCGGGCCACCACGACCTGGATAAAGTGAATGAAAACCCGACGCACCAGATTCAAGCTGAATGGAAAGCAACGAAAGCAGTAACCTTCACGCCCTACAACCAAACCGAGCCAGTCCCTGAACCCCGGATGAAGAGGGACGTGCCAATACATGCCCTTGAGATCTAGGGACACCATCCAAGCACCCGGCTCCAACAGAAGACAGACCTGGGACAAAGTAGTCATCCAAAAGGAGGGGAAATAAACCCACAGGTTCAGACGGAACAAGTCTAGAATGAACCGGAGGTCCGCGCAGTCCCGTTTCAGAACCGGAAACAGGTGGGGATGTAACACTGTAAAAGTGTTTGGTTTAGTTGTATTTAATACATAGAGATTCAGGAGTCACAGACAGGGATTTGAGAAGGCGCCAGTTTGGTCGGCCTGAGACTCACACCTCTAAGCGTTAATGACCTCAAGTGACCTGAGGTCAGATCATGCGAATTTCACCTTGCCTCTGCTAATCTGATAATTGGCCTTCAAACATGCCGACGTTTAAGGAGTGGCTTGGTAGAGAGCCGGAGGCTACCTACTTGTGGGCGGAGTTAGCTACTAGGTATCCCAATATATAATCGGAGAGCTATCGATTCGAGCATTAACAAGATATAATAGGAGCCAGCACAGCAGAGGACAACAGCCGAGACAGGCTGTCGGTCGGACGGGGGTGACGCTGCCTGACAGCTGCAGACTCCCCCCCCCCCCCCCTCTGTCCAGCTATAGGCAGACACTTGGTGAGTTGAACATTAAGGTGACTTGGTCGTGTTTACATATGTTGTGTGATGATCAGGGGCAGACAGTTGTAGGGTTCTCAAATTCTTGGATGATGACTCACTTTGCATATTAATCTTTAACATTTTAATTGAATTGATTAAATTATGATACTTATCATGTGAAATATAATTGAATTTATTATTTAAATGGTCTTTAACTTTGTTCCCTAGAGTTTTTGAGTTGAGATAAGAAAGCCTCTGCGGTTTCATGATTTAATGAATACATGATACAGATGGAACAGACTAATAATGACCTCGTGTTAACATCTTTGAGAATTTTGTGATACAGACAAGTTCCATTCCTTGTCTTGTATATAATGGTCTTGAATGGATGGTGGCAGCATTTCTTCTTCTACTATCTACTCTTCTAATTCTACTATCTACACTTCTACTTCTACCTATCTACTCCTCTCCCTCCACCCCTCTCCGAACTTTCCCTTTCAGCTAATGACCCTCCTCGCTCCTCCCACCTCTCTACCTCTCTCGCCCCAAACCCTCACTAATTACCTCATTATTCATCTCTCTCATTTCGTTTCTCTTAAACATTTGTGGCAGTGAAATGTATTCTAGAGTTCTCTCTAGACTTTCGGGTACCTGGTTGATACCTGGTTGATGGGGTTCTGGGAGTTGTTCTACTCCCAAGCCCGGCCCGAGGCCAGGCTTGACTTGTGAGAGTTTGGTCCACTAGGCTGTTGCTTGGAGCGGCCCGCAGGCCCACATACCCACCACAGCCCGGTTGGTCCGGCACTCCTAGGAGGAATAAATCTAGTTTCCTCTTGAAGATGTCGACGGTTGTTCCGGCAATATTTCTTATGCTTGCTGGGAGGACGTTGAACAACCGCGGACCTCTGATGTTTATACAGTGTTCTCTGATTGTGCCTATGGCACCTATGCTCTTCACTGGTTCTATTCTGCATTTTCTTCCATATCGTTCACTCCAGTACGTTGTTATTTTACTGTGTAGATTTGGTACTTGGCCCTCCAGTATCTTCCAGGTGTATATCCAGCTACCAGGGTAGCTGATCAAGTTACGGCGCCTTGTAGTCTTAGCACCTAGGTAGGCAAATACCTAGGTTACAAGGTGTTGAATGAGAGAGGTTGCCTTAGGAACTCTGGAGGTGCTCTAGAATAGTTAGCTAACTGAGGACGGGATAACGGACTAGAGAGAGCTGTTTTCCCCGGCCTCGTTAGTTAACTGGGGGTTGGAATAATGGACAAAAGAGAGCTATTTCCCCCATCCCCCGTTACAGGGAAACCCACCTGAGTGACGAGGTCGGTTCGACCATGCCCAAGCGAACCCATTCCAAGACGACACCTTATGAGCACCCAAACGGAGCAAAGAGCTATCCCCGCACAGAACAGAAACAGGCGGCACCAAACGCTGCACCGGTGCCGAACCTGACACCATTGGCCTACCAAGAAAGAAAGAACCCTGACCCCGACTGGCACGATCCCCCATCGGAGGCCCAACAATTCCAACATAGGACAGCAAAGAGCTGAAGTCGCCTGCAGATACTGCATCACTGCAGACTCTGCAAACAGTAATGGACAAAAGGACGAAGACAATCTAAGAGCCGGGGCCCAAGCAGATCCCAAGGCAGAAGCAAGCACCGCCTGTCGACACGCGAGCCGAGAAGCAAAAAACCGCGAAACCGCATCCCGCAGGAACGGCGCGAACAGCTTCAACAGCGTAGACAAAGCACGCGCCGCCGAAGGCAACACGCAAGTCGTCCGCGACCAATGCAGCCTAAAGGGAAGGAAACAGCACATGAAGCTGCATCACACCAACATCCCGCGGATGGGCATGGGCAAACAAGCACTCATTGAGGTACTTAAATGCGTCCCCCAGGAAAACTTGCATTGCCATCTGAGCCTCCTGCCACTCAAGTGTGCGAGACCGATAGAATGTATGACATGCCTCCAAAGAGAAGAAAGGGCAGTCTGCTAACCAGGACGACTCCGGAACTTCATAACGAACCCAGTAAAGACACAAAGATCCATACACAAAGGAACGTGGATCCATCACGAAAGCAAAATCCAGGTCGCGCAGGAGGTAAGCCACAAGAGCGTAGTGCACCCACTGGGACTGGACTCAAGAAGCCAGAAACCTCCGGAAAGACGAAACCGAAGAGCTGTCGGGATCACGGAACTGAACCTGGAGAGGGGTAGACACCAGATCCAACTCGTAGAAGGAGGAAGCAAAAGAGAACCCCACACCCTGTAACACCAAGCCCCGCTCCGAGGGTACAAAAACCCAAGCGGGGTCCAATGAGGCACAATACCCCCAAGTCAACTTCTCCCCCGCCTCAGGAACCTCACCCTGAGGATCCAGGGCCGAGCCGTCCTCCACACCCCCTGCCTCTAAAGTAAAGGCAGCAGCAGCTGAAAAAGCAGGAACGAAGAGGGCCCACTGGTAAGACCCAGAAGCTCCGGCAGGAGGACCAGGCTCAAATGCCTCCACCACCACCCCAGAAGGGGACTCCCCCGAGACTGCCCGAGTCTCAACGCCAACTAAACCCTGCCCTAACTCCAAAACCCTCAGACGCTTTGGAGCCAGAAGCAACAGGAAACGAACCGGATGGACAACAAAAGGGAAAGGACAAGGGGAGGAGGACGGAACCAGAGCTGAAGCGACTCCCACCCCCAAGCCCGGGTCCCTAAAACCAAAACGGGGCAGTCTCGGGGCATCCGGGGAAGCAACTAACCTAGCATGTTGCAGTAACCTAAACCTAGCATGCAAAGCAGCTGCCGCCTGCACCCTCATATCATGATCAGTTACTTGGGGTGAACTGGAGCACGTACAGGCAACAAATGTTGCATGACTCCGGGTCAAAAGAATCACCGACCCAACAGGCAGCATGGCTGAGGCACAACCAGTGAGTGTTACCCAGAGACAATGGGACAGAGCAACCTTCCGACTCGCACGAAGCAAGAGGGGACTCGAGGATCACATCCATCGGACAACGGAGCCCCTGCGGGGTTTCCCAGGGCTCTTCGCCTTATTAACATGCTAAGGGAAGCCCAGGCAGGGTACTGCAAACCAGCCCCAAGACTACCAAACAAACTGCTAATAGCTGAACCCCTGGAACGTGTCCACTCACGGGGAGCCCTAGCAAGGGGTGCCACCAACCACACAAAAACTGAGAACAGATATAATGATAGATATATACACCCCAACACAGAAGGGGCAACCACCAAGGCAGACCTCCCTCACCAGGCAGAAAAACAAAAACATCGTCATGCTTGTTTGCTAATTTTAGTTTGGGGAGTTCTGTCCACTCGTTCGGCTTTTGGTAGCAATAGTTTCACCAGATTTTAGAAAATTTGTTTTGGAACGCCTACCTTTCTGGATGCCAGATCCAGTCTATGGCAGACATAGAATGCTCGCAACCACACGGGGGTTTCTATTGGCCATTTCTCCTTGTGCCTCTCTTGAGGGGGGGGGCCAGGTTGTGGCTCATGGTCCCTGCCAGGCAAGAACTCCATGCATATTGACTGATGCCAGAAAGTTATACATATCTATTCAGCCTGGATAGCTGCGGGGAGCCGACGAGGCCCCCCCCTCCCAGAAAAAAAAGATTTGAAGTGCAATCAATTCATGAATGTATTGATATCTATGAGAAGTCATTTTCTAAGCTGCCTGCCTGCTGCCAAGCAGTTTATCAGCTGGTTGCAGAGTTAAGGTGAAAGTTTGCCCAAAGTGTACATGCTCTGACTGGGGCCTACAGGTAAGGCAGGTTTACTACTGAGTGTTGGGGTCCTTAATTAATAAGTGAAGGTATATATCTAGCTGTATATGGGAATATAGCCATTCAGTTAATCAGAAAAGTATAAAAATATACTAGTGCTCTCTAGATATTATAATAGTCAAAAGGCTACACAAGGAGAGGAATGTCTTAATATACACTTATATTCAAATATAAAAGCGTGTTATACATCATTACAGTCAAGAACATACCTGTGTGGTTGAGCCAGCAGCTGGTCAGCATATTTATACACTCTCAGTATTTCCCTCACACAAGAATTTATTGCTTGAACTAAGGAATCTGGAATATTTGTACTCCAGTTTGATGGTAAATCAATCCTGCCTTCTGCTTCATCAGCTTCCATAGAATCATCATCAGGATTTAGCTGGTGTGGAAAAAAACAGCATTGAATGTAATGTAATGAAATGAAATGCCATTTTATGGGTTGGGCCCCGGAGGCTTCCAGAAGCTAACGGACTGATATTCACTATATTAGTCCAGAGCATCATTTAATTGGAGTTCTTTGCCTACCGGGAACCACGAGCCAGAACTTGGTTCCCTCAGAGATGAGCAGGGAGCAATGGCCTATGAACACTCCTCTTTGTGAAAGTATACATGTCTGCCATCAACCGGAGGTATCACCCAGAAAGGTAGGTGAACCATTACAAACCCCAACTGGTAAAACATTGCAACCCAAGACCAAATATAGCTCAAGAACTCCCCCCAAGAGGAAACAACAAACAAGCAAATATCTAATCAACTAGCGCTCTCACTCATTAGCGACCCCCCTCCCTCGAGAGGGGCTTCCGCCCAGGCAGCCCAAGCGAAGCGTTCATAGACTGATAACAAACCCGTCAACCTGAGAGGTTATCTTGAGGTTATTTTGAGATGATTTCTGTGCTTAGGGTCCCCGCAGCCCGGTTCTCGAACAGGCCCCCTTTTTGTTAACCCCCAGGAATTAGCCCATAGCAGCTGTCTAACTCCCAGGTACCTATTTGTGTACCTATGTACCCCAGGTTCTAGGTACAACTAGACCACAACTGAGTCAATGATTGCAGTTATGGCTGCAACCGCCGACCCAAAGCGACACAGGCCCGACTAGGCCCAGGAATGTACACGAGGTACCGCGCAGCCAAGACCCTGTTCGACTGCCAAAAACCCTGCGCCCGAATGTCAGTCCAGGACATGTTGTCAAAGACGGCAGCAAGAGCATGGAACTTACAAATGTCATGGGCACGGGGATAAACCACAAGATGGCTAGCCTGAATAACTCTGCAGACGACCTGGGTGACACACACCCGAGAAGAGAAACCGGATCAACCCAAAGCGCATCCCCCGGACACAGAAGCCGAGGCGCGCAAATAACGGCGGAGGGCTGTAACCGGACACAAAACATAATGCACCCCTGGCCTGACCAACCAAGCATCAACAACCCAAGGACCCCTCCGGAAAGCAGCTGTCTCAATCTATACCAGAAAGGAAGGAGACGACTGCAGACGAACAAACCTATCGCTACGACCGGAGGAGAGCATGAAGCCCACTGACCCGACCCCCAGAGCCCAATGCCAACAGGAAAAGAGCCTTCGAGAAACAATCCTGAACCGAAGGGGCCACAACAAACCGAGGAGAAGAGAAAAAAAGAGAGCAACCTGTCCAATGCCAAGAATGGTTCAGGCAGCACATGAGCAGGCCGGAGGTGAAACAACGCATGAGACAGCTTGCAAAATGGCACAGACGTTACAGCAAGACCAAAAGCAAGGTGAAGCGGCTCTGCCAGCGCCGCACGATACGAGGCAACAGTATGTGGCAAGATGACGGCCCCTAACCTCCACAAGAGAAGGACAAGACCACGCCAAGAAACGCAGCAACTTAAGAAGGGCCAGAAAAGAAAAGGAAGGACCGTGGGACACCATCAACGAAGTTACCCCACCACCAACAGAAGGTGAGAGGCGCGAGGCAGAACCAAATCAGCTTCGCCATGAGCCAATCGAGCCTAGGAAGAGGCGGAACCGCGGGAAGATCTTGGGTGCGACCACCGAGCAAGCAGAGCCGGAAACCCAAGCTGGCAAAGGGGAGATGGAACGTCTGCCGTACAGAAAAATGCCCCAACGCCAGCGAGCCCACCAGGAGATTGGAGACTACGGGTCCGACACAAGACTGCAGAGAAGGGACACCGCGAAATCGTGAAAACACTAACAGGCAGGGTAAGCCAGGAACCAAGAACCCAAACCTGGCAAGAGGAGAGCCCAAAGGGCACAAACAAAACACACAACAATGTCAAGGAGCAAATGAGAAAAAACAGAAAAACATAAGAAAAAGACTAGAAGAACAGCCCCAGCACCAGCAGCTAGGTACAAGAGTGTAGAAGGAAGATGAGGAACGAAGAAGGCAGGTAGCAACGGGAACGAAAGGTACATGACCAACAACACACAGAGCTGCTGGTCATGTCCCAACAACACACAGAGCTACTGGTCATGTCCCAACAACACACACAGTCGTTGGTCATGCCCCAACACAAGACTAAATGGAAAAATGTGCAAAGGTATGCCACCAGACCAGTACCCGAACCAAGGGGTAAGAGCTACAAGGATATGATCACCACATTCAAGATCCTCAGAGGAATCGAAAAGGTAGATAAAGACAGACTATGGAACCCAAGGGGCACACGCACCAGGGGGACACAGGCGGAATGAGTGCCCAAAGGAGCTGTAGAGACGTTGGAAAGAAGCATTCCAGAGTCAGAGTAGTAGACAAATGGAATGCATGAGGAAGTAACGTGGTGGAGGCTGACTCCACACACTGCATCAAGCGTAGATATGATAGAGCCCAGCAGGCCCAAGAACCTGCACAATAGTTAATTGACAGGTAAGAATGCATAATGTCTGGGGTGCATAATGGGGTGCATAATGTCTGATCTTGGAGAGTATCCCAACTGATTTAGAGACTTTCTTAGTTATGTGTTGTATGTGGGTGCAGAAGTTGAGTCTCTTGTCTAAGTATAGGCCAAGAAACTTTCCATCCTTTTTATTGCTAATGTTTACATTATCTATTATCTATTAGCCAGGCACTGCAAGACGGGCAAAGAATAAGTGACCCAGAGAAGACCATGAAAAACGGGGCCGTGATCTCCCTTGTAACAAATAACATAAGACAAACAAGGAAGGCCAAGGAAGAAGCACAGAAGGGCCAAACAAAACGCCACAACTAATCCCCAACGCGCATCCGCAGTATGAAAACTGCAGCAAAACGTCACCTCATAACATCCTGACACAATAACATTTACCTCATAACATGCACCCCCTCCATTGTACCTCATAACATGGTGAAAGTGGGGCCCCTAGAGTGACTAAAGCATGGGTTGGACATGCATACGAGTGGGACTGGATGGGTAGAAATGGGAGCTGCCTCGTTTGACCCAATAGGCCTTCTGCAGTCATCTAAGTTCTGATGTTCTTATATTCGTATCCTAAACCACAAACCAGCGTCTCCTAAAGAGACACCAGACCCAATAAACTCACCTGCAGAATGTAGGCACGAACGTGTAAAGACACAACATAGCCGAGAAGATTCTGGGAGCACCGCCAGTGGAAGAAGGCAGAACCGCACATGCAGGAGAAGAGTAGGGTAGAGGTGAAGGAGGAGCCCCACACCCATACACAGGGAAAACCCGGCGTCCTCCCCATAGTGGCAATCCAGAACACCCCCAGTAGCTATGGGGCACGGACTGGAGAACTGAGATGAGTGAGAGGCAAAGCACCTGAGAGAAAAGGACGCAGAACACAGCACTTGTGCACACCTCCCATACCAAACTAACACGGGGCATGCGCAGACAGGGATGCCAGATTTGGGGTGCTGGATGTCGCAAGCTGAAGAAATAAAAATCACGAATTTGACTATAAAACTAGACAAAATATTTTTGTTAATGATTGAATTCCTGTGCAGAGTACAGTCAGCATATTGCAACAGTAGCTGGAAAGCGGAGTAAGGAGCAAAATATACATAGCCGGCTGTCATTTGGGCAATAAGTAGCCAAATTGGGCTACACGTAGCCCAATCTGGCACCCCTGCGCAGGACAGGAGGGTCGAACCGCACAACCCGCTCAGTGAGAAGGCGCCAAAATGGGAATATTGAAAAAAAAAATGAGCAGAGCTGAGACAAAGCACGGAGAGCCCAAACCTGTAGGAGAGAAGATACAATCACAAAGGAACGAAACAGGACCGAAAACCGAAAAGAAGCACTGAAGAGGAGCAACAAGCCCTAGAAAGGATCAGAGGGAAGCCACACCGGAAGACGACAGACATTCCAATAAAACGGGAAGAAGTGAAAACCTTCCCGAACCTTCGAGAACATATAGAAGCAAGCACAAAGCACGGAGGCACATAAAGGCAGAGTCGCACCCGAGACCAAAAGTCATGCAGAACCCCGAGAAGAGGGGAACATGACGGTGAAGGCCCGTCCCAAAGAAGAAGGGTGAATAAACTGAGAAAAGTACCTACCGACAGGACGGAACTGACGGATCCAAGGGACAAGGAACCGAACCGGGAGAGGGGCCGGCGCCCGACAACACATACGGAGAGGGGGGAAAGAAAAACCGCACTCCTCCTAACTGCAAGTCCCGTTCAAAGGGTAGAAAACCTCGGCAGGGTCCAACGAGGACCGAGGCCCCTCAGGTCAGCCCCTCTCCAGCCCTGGAAACCCACACAGCAGGCCCTGTGGTCGAGCCGCCCCCCAAGGCCCCAGCCTCACAAGAAAGAGCCAGGGCAGCCGGAAAAGTACTAAGGAAGGGAGTCCACAAGCAGACTCACACAACATTGCTGAAGGAACACGCTCGAATGCCTCCGTCGCCACCCTGGAAGTGGAATTCACCGAGATCGCCAAAGTCTCAAGACCATCGAAGCCCCGCCCCGCCCCCAAACCCACAGACCGTAAGGATCCGGATGCATGGAGGAAGGGCGGGGGGTGGGGGGGGTCAGACTAGACCACAACAGGGGAAAGACAAGGGGCGCAGAAGGAAACAAAACTGAAACAACCAACACCTGTTTGGTGTTGGTTGTTTCAGGTGTCCTGTTTGGTGTCCAAGTTCGCAAACAGGTGTCCTGTTTGCAAACATCTACATCGGTACCATCGAGAAAAAGGTCTTAGTCGACATGAACTTGAAACCGGCCATATACTGGAGGTATGTTGATGACATTTTTACACAGGTACCTGATATCAGACATCTGCAGGAGCTGAAGGAGGCATTTGAGCGGAATTCTGTATTGCGTTTCATTTACGAGATGGAGAAGGATGGGAAGCTGCCCTTTCTAGATGAAACAGTCATGGAAATGAGTGCAGGTTTCCACACTGCAGTCGACATTAAGGAAACAAACATAGGAATGTACCTA